GTGTATATGCTCCTTAAAGCTGCCCATGATATGGTAAAAAAGTGTCTTCAGGTTGCGCTCAGTGGCTCAGCCTGTCATCCCAGCACTTTCAGAGGCAAACGCGAGGGAATTGCCTGAACTCGCGGGTTCGAGACCATCCCTGGCAACGTGGCGAGACCTCGTCTCTACAATAAATAAAAAAATGAGCCGGGCGTAGTAGCGCGTGCCTGTAGTTCTGGCTCCTTGGAAGGCTGAGGCGGAAGGATCGCCGGAGCCCGGCACGTCGATACTGGGGTGGCCGTGAGTGTGCCACTGCACTCCAGCCTGGGTGACAGTGAGACTCCAACCAAAAATAAAGAAGAAAGAAACTAAATTTAACCAAAAGGTAACAATATCCATAGTTAACCTTCATAGAGAGGTTGATATGTACCTGACAGTGCTGAACCTGCTTTGTATGCAATTGTTACCACAGCCCTGAGCTGCCTACTCTTACAGATGGAAAACTGAGACTCATTCACAGTTAACTAACTAATAAGTGGTTCCCCAAAACCTTATTTATAAAAACCAGAAATTAGAAAGAGCCTGCATGTAATTTGAATAGAATGTTGTGTAGTTATTAGAATCTAGGTTTTCAAAAAGTGTGTCATAACACAGCAAGGTGAGTGTAATACGAGTCTTACTGGTCCCATTCAGACCAGTGGATGCTGCTGTGACAATGCCCTTCACCTGCTACAGCAGTAGCCCTTGATTGGGTTCCAAGGTCACGGCTCTTTTAGTGCACACTGGCTGTGTCAGGGTGGGGCAGAGGAGACTGGGCAGAGAAAGTGACATCTGGAGTTGGGGAGAATGCTTCAGAGATAGTGAACAAGCCCCGAAATGAGAAGAAGTGCAAGCCTTCTAGGAAGTGAGAGTTCAGTGTGTCAGGGAGGAGATTAAAGTGATGAGGCTGGAGAGATAAGCAGAGGCCAGATGGAGAGGCCCTCCGGGTCTAATCTTGGGGCTGCAGTGTTCTGTGGTGATCATGGCAGATTTGGTTGTGACAAGCTGGGGACACCAGCCTTGGCATCCAGAGGTCAGGGGACTTGTTTGGCTAAGAGTGATGCATTTCTACTTTTGCTAAGAAAAGTTAACTGGCAGTGACTAATGCCTGTCATTCCAGCACTTTGGGAGGCGGAGGCGAGAGGATTGCCTGAGCCCAGGGGTTCGAGACCAGCCTGGGCAACTTGGTGAGAGACCTTGTCTCTACAATAAATCAGAAAAATTACCCTGGCATGGTGGCACATGCCTGTAGTTCCAGGTGCTTGGAAAGCTGAGGCAGAAGGATCACCTGAGCCCAGAATATTGAGGCTGCGGTGGTCGTGAGTATGCCACTATACTCCAGCCTAAGAGTCAGAGTGAGATTCACACTCAAAAAAAAAAAAAAAAAAAAAAAAGACAGTAGTCATTCTAGCCTATTCTATGTCTGGAAAACATTCAGACTAAGAGTTTCCAGGGTTGGTAACAAACACGTGGTGTTTTATTGGAGTGCTCTGTGTTCCAAGATTCAGAGAAGACCAATGGGCTGCTATGGTTTGAATGATGGTGTCCCCTCCAAGATTCATGTTGAAACTTAAATCCCAATGCAACAGCCTTTGGGAGGTGGTAAAGCCATAAGGACTCTGCCCTTATGAATGTGGTTAGCATCCTTCTAAAAGGGCTTGAGGTTAAAGGGAGTGTTCTCTTGCCCTTCTGCCTTTTGCCATGTAAGGACACGCAAAAAGGCACCATCGTGCAGGCAGAGAGTTGCACTCACCAGACACCAGGGCCAGCACCTTAATCTTGGACTTTCTAGTCTGCAGAACTGTAAGAAATAAATTTCTGTTCTTTATGAATTCTCTAATCTAAGGATTTTTGTTTTGTTTTTACTAGGATTCTCACCCTGTCACCCAGGTTAGAGTGCAGTGGCATGCGCATGGCCACCGCAGCCTTGACCTACTGGGCTCATGTGATCCTTCCACCTCAGCCTTCCAAGTAGCTGGAACCACAGGCAGGCACCATCACGCCTGGCTAATTTTTTGTATTTATTGTAGAGACAAAGTCTCACCAAGTTGCCCAGGCTGGTCCCAAACCCCTGGGTTCAGTCAATCCTCTCACCTCAGCCTCCCAAAGTGCTGGGATTACAGGACTGAGCCACTGTGCTCAGTCTGATATTTTGTTATAGCAGCACACACAGACTAAGACATGGGCATTAGAGTATCTTGAATGTTTTATACTTTATTCATCAAGTATAGTATCTGGAGCAGGAATTTCACATGTTGAAAATACAGACGGATTTTAAAGAAAATGAGAAAAGAATCATTTTCTTTAGTCTCTCCTTTGCGGGTGCTTTTATTCTCTCTGCCCACACAAATGTGCTACGGCCTGCAGTTCAAGAACTTTGATCTTCCTCCTTCCACTTTTGATCACTTGTGGAGTACCTATTGTGTGCGATTAATACCGCTAGCGACACATTGAATCACCTGGAGAATGTGGGGAGAAACAAAACAAAACAAAACAAAACAAATGCCTGGCCCCATCCTACAACCAAAAGAATTGAAAGTAGAGTCTTGGGGACATATCTTTACACGCATGTCCACAGAATTGTTCATAATAGCCAAAGGGTGGAAGTAACCCCAGTAGCCATAGAATAACAGATGAATGGATTAGCACAATGTAGTCAAAGTTTTTGCCAAGGTCTGGAGGGAGGAGAGAATGGGGGGTTATTGAGTAATGGGCACAGAGTTTCAGTCTTACAAGTGAAAAGACTTCTGAAGATGGATGGTGGTGATGGCTGCACAACAATATGAATGTATTAAATACCGCTGAACTGTACACTTAGAAATGATTCACATGGTAAATGTTATGTCATGTGTGTTTTGCCACAATTTTTAAAAATTGGGGGAAAATAATATGAAGGCAATAATTGATTGTAAAATTATTATGGAAAATTATCCAGTGACATTAGCAAAGAATATCTGGAAAAGTGGAGCAATGTGCCAGCTGTTAAAATCGTACAACAGGCTGAGCACAGTGTTAAGCCTGTAATCCCAGCACTTTGGGAGGCTGAGGTGAGAGGATTGCCTAAACCCACAGGTTTGAGACCAGCCTGGGCAACTTGGCGAGACCTTTTCTCTACCATAAATCAAAAAATTGGCTGGGATTGGTCTTGGTGGCTCAGCCTGTAATCCCAGCACTTTGAGAGACCAAGGTGAGTGAATTGCCTGAGCCCGTGGGTTCGAGACCCGCCCGGGCAACTTGGCGAGACCTCGTCTCTACAATGAATCAAAAAATGAGCCGGGCGTGGTAGTGTGCGCCTGTAGTTCCTGCTACTCGGAAGGCTGAGGCGGAAGGACCGCTGGAGCCCAGCAGATCGAAGCTGCGGTGGCCGGGAGCGTGACACTGCACTCCAGTCTGGAGTGAGACTCCAACTCAAAAAAGAAAGAAAAATCGGCACTGCAGAAGTGGAATCGGTGCTTGATATATATTCCTGTGACTTTTTTGGTCTTCCTTTGTATTAGTCTTCGCTTTCTTCAGAAAAAAGAGACTAGTGCCTAGGTGTAGTGTTTCTGATAGGACTATGTCCAGAAGGGGCCAGGAAGCTAAGTAGATATGTTTCTGCCAAAGCTAACATTCACTCTGGGCTTTTTTTTTTCTTCTAGACACACATTTTCGGGCATGTCCCATGGGAGAGCCTTCTTTGTTTATCTGTTTCGAAATGCTCCATCTGCCTAGGAAACATGATTTGCTCACACGTTAACAAATAATTGTGGAATGCCTGATATGCACAAGGCCCACTGCTAGATGTACAACTACAGAATTTTGAGTAAACAGGAGAACACCGCCTCTGATGCCAGGGTTCCTATAGTCTGTTGACTGTATCGATCAATTTTTTTTTTTTTTTTTTTGAGTCAGAGACTCACTCCGTCGCCCAGGCTGGAGGGCAGTGGCACACTCATGGCCACCGCCACCTCGACCTGCTGGGTTCCGGCGATCCTTCTGCCTCAGCCTTCTAAGTAGCTGGAACTATAGGCCGCACTACCATGCCTGGCTTTTTTTTTATTTTTTTATCTACTGTAGAGATGAGGTCTCAGCAAGTTGCCCAGGCTGGTCCCGAACCTGCCGTCTCAGGCAATCCACTCGCCTCGACTTCCCAAAGGATCCCAAAGGCGAGAGGATTGCCTGAGCCACTGCGCCCGACCTGAATGTATCTACTGAAACCATATGCATCTATTGATACTGGAGGACATTTTCCTCTTTTTAGTTGGAGTCTCACTCTGTTGCCCAGGCTAGAGTGCAGTGGCACAATCATGGCTCACTGTGGCCTTGACCTCTTGGGCTCAGTCAGTTCTTCAACCTCTGCCTCCAGAATAGCTGGGACTACAAGCACCTGCCACCATGCCCAGCTAATTTTTAAATTTTTTGTAGAGATGAGATCTCGCTATGTTGTCTAGGCTGGTCTTGAACTCCTGGCCTCAAGCCGTCCTCTCACCTCGGCCTCCCAAAGTACTAAGACTCTAGGCATGAGCCACCATGCCTGACCTTAATAACAAAGACATTAAACAATTAACTAAACAATACTAAGTCAAGATTACAAGTTAATTACATAGTAATTCTGAAAGACCTCTACTCTAGCAGGGCTTTTAGGCATACAAGGCACTGAACCCAGTTTGAGGAGATCGGGGGCCCTCCTTGGGAAAGGACACTTGACCTGAGCCTTGAAAGCTGTTTGTATCAGCGTCTGCTCTCCCTTTTCATTCTCCCTTCTTTTCTAGCCTTCTCATGCCTCCGTTTGCCTTCATTAGTCCTCCAGATTGTAATCATTCTTCACTTACAAGCTACTGACAAATAGCTTGTAAGAGAGGTAAGATAATACTGTTCACAGCCTCCTTCAATCCAAGACATGAAACTCCTAGAGGACAAACAGGTTTCTTTTTATTGGGTCAAAATGAGAGAAAGCTGTCTTTCACAACTCACATTTAACACCTTGCTTTTTGTGTTTTCAGCAACTCAAGCATCCCAACCTTGTCAACCTCTTGGAAGTCTTCAGGAAAAAACGGAGGCTTCACCTGGTGTTTGAATATTGTGATCACACAGTTCTCCATGAGTTGGACAGATACCAAAGGGGGTGAGTGATCCATCCCTTATAATCAAAACAAAACAAAACACACCGGGATTTGGTGAGAAGAAAGTAGTACTGACTCTTTTTATTTTTATTTTTTATTTTTTTTGAGTCAGAGTCTTACTCTGGGATGCCCAGACTGGAGTGCAGTGGCACGCTCCCGGCCACTGCAGCCTCACCCTGCTGGGCTCCGGCGATCCTTCCGCCTCAGCTTTCCAAGTAGTCGGAACTACGGGCGCGCGCTACCACGCCTGGCTAATTTTTTTTTTTATTTATTGTAGAGTTGAGGTCTCATCATAAACTGGGCTTATCTCGAACTGCGGGCTCAGGCAACCCCACTCACCTCAGCCTCCCGAAGTGTTGGGATTACAGGCTGAGCCACCAAGCCCGGCCTGCAATGACTCTTTTTAAGACTAGGCAACAAACCTGGGCAACATAGTGAGACCTCATCTGTACAAAAAATAAAAAAAAATTAGACAGGTATAGTGGCATATGCCTATTGTCCCAGCTACTCTGGAGGCTGAGGTAAAAGGATTGCCTGAGCCCAGGAGGTCAAGCCTGCAGTGAGCCATGTTTGTGCCACTGCACTCTAGCCTGGACAACAGAGTAAGACTCTGACTCGAAAAAAAGAAAAGAAAAGGAAGGATGCTTGATATTTCATGCCCAACTAGGGAAGCATGAGGGCTTGGATACTGAAAGCAAGAGGCCATTGGGTGCGGTGACTCAAGCCTGTAATCCCAGCACTTAGGGAGGACGAGGTGAGATTACCTGAGCCCATGGGTTCGAGACCAGCTTGGGCAACATGGTGAGGCCTCATCTCTACAATAAAAGAAAAAAATTAGCTGGGCATGGTAGCATGCGCCTATAGTTCCGGTTACTTGGAAGGCTAAGGTGGAGGGATCTCCAGAGCCCAGCAATTTGATGCTGGGGTGGGTGGCTGTAAGTGTTCTACTGCACTCCAGTCTGGGTGATGGAGTGAGACTCCAACTCAAAAAAAAAAAAAAAGAAAGCAATAGGCCAAAGGCAATGGCTAATAGGGAGTGTAAGGCTAAAAGAAACATGGTATTTTGCTGGGCATGGTGACTCAGGCCTGTAATTCCAGCACTTTGGGAAGCGGAGGCAAGAGGACTGCCTGAGCCCAGGGATATAAATCCAAAAATTAACTGGGCGTGGTGGTTCGCGCCTGTAGTTCTAGCTGCAGAAGGATTGCCTGAGCCCAGCAAGTTCTAGACTGTGGTGACCGTGGGTGCGCTACTGCACTCCAGCTTGGGCGACTCAAACAAATAAAAATTAAAAACAGAATATTTCATCTGTGGCAATCTGAGTGTCTAGAATGCTGTATTCATCCGGAGTTTTTAGTTTCAAGCGACAAAAACCCAACTGAAGCAAGCATAGGTGAGAAAGAAGTGTGTTGTGGCTCTAACTGGGAAGGATGAGGGGACTCTGACGACTGCCAGTCTGGTTACACATCTCCGGCATATGCACCACTTCTGTGTGCTTTAGAAGGAGGCTTGATGAGAGACAGAGCTTTTGTCTGAAAAAAAGGAGGGGGAGGTCCTTTCTCCGGTTGAGGAGAGCTCCTTGCCAGGGCGAGCAGAGGCAGCCTGGGTTTCGGCTCCCGCCCACTCCTCAGATGGGTGTTTTCAGGCATGGCACCATGGGTGGTGGCTGTGTCCTTTTTCCTCTCCCCTCCCCCTCCATCCCTCTCTCCCTCCCCCCCCACCCTCTCCCTCTCCTCCACGCCCAATTCTTCTGTGTGTTGGAGGGTATGTGGATGGACTGGGATGGGAGGATTTTGGAAGGGAAAACTCCAAAATAGAAAGCATGACCCCAGGCTTGTATCAATCTATAGAGCTCTTGTAGAAGACGTTCTAGGGAAGTTACCTCTGCTTATTAAGTCCAGTGGAACTCTGACTGGCTTAGCTCAGTGATTCAGCCATCCCTGGGGCCAGTGATTATGGTGGGAAGGAGAGGGTAGAATGATTTAGCAGGCCCTGGAACGTATTATTCAAAGTGGATCAATCAAAGATGGCTTGGTGGAGGTGGCCTTTGAGTTGAAAGGGGAGGTGAATTGAGAGAGGTCAGCAGGGGAGAAGGATATTACATCTTTCCTTTTTTTTTCTCTCTGTTTCTGGGAGCCTAACTTTGGCTAGGGGCAATAGGAAGAGTGTGTTGGAATAGGATCCCATCCCTGCTCACGTTCACTGCCAGTGACTGCAGGCTGACAGAGTCTCTTCCAGCAACTCTCCTAAGCCTTTGCCAAGTGCTTGTGTTGCTGTGGCTCTGCCATTCTCTGTAAGAATCTTTTGGGGGACAGAAGCATTTTAGGGAGCCCTCGAATCTGGCTCTGCTCCCTGGACTTGAATTCAGAAATACACTTCTTCCTACCAAAAAAAAAAAGCATTTGTTTTTTCCTTCTGAGTTGAGGTCTCACTCTGTCAACCAGGCAGGAGTGCAATGAATGGCATGATCACAGCTCACCACAGCCTCCACCGGCTGGGCTCAGGCAGTCTTCCTGCCTTGGCCTCCCGAGTAGTTGGGACTACAGGCATGTGCCACTGCACCCAGCTAATGTTTTGGCTTTTTTTTTGTAGAGACGAGGCCTTGCTGTGTTGCCTAGGCTGGTCTTGAACTCCTGGGCTCAAGCAGTCCTCCCACCTCAGAAAGTGCTAGGATTACAGGCATGAGTCACCCGGCCCAGCCATAAATATCTATCCATTCTAATTCCCAGTGCTGTGCTCATGTAGTTTATATTTATCCTCAAACAAACATACTACTATTCCATATCTAGGACGTAATTAGCTTTGTGCCTGTTATTCTATAAATGATTAGTTTTTTAAAATTTCATAAATGACTAGTTTAGGTTGGGCACTGGCACTGAGTGGGAGGCAGGAGGAAGACAGGTCAGGCTGTGCCGATGTGAGCAAATTTTTTAATTAAAAAAAAAAAATGGGCTAGGCATGGTGGCTCAAGCCTGTAATTCCAGCACTGTGGGAAGCCGAGGTGAGGCGATTGCCTGAGCCCTCAGATTTGAGACCAGCCTGGGCAACTTGACAAGACCTCATCTCTACAATAAAAAAAAAAAAAAAAAAAAATTAGCCAGGCATGGTAGCACACTCCTGCTGTTTCTGCTACTTGGAAGGCTGAGACTGGAGGATTGCCTGAGCCCAGCAGGTCAACACTGGGGTGGCCATGAGCATGCCACTGCACTCCAGCCTTGATGACAGAGTGAGACTCCAACTTGGGGGGGGAATGACTAGTTTAGGTGTTTTCTCCTCATTTCTCTGACCATCTGTAAGTACAGCCAGATGCAATACTTCATCGATTCTTTCCTGCATATATTTTCCTCCAGCTCTTTCCCTGATGCTAATATAGTTTGTTCAAAGAGCATCTCTTGGATAGAGGGTGTTACCACAAGTCTTCAGTTTCTGACAATGAAATTTCAGAACTTTTACCTCTCTTTCTTTAAGATTAAAAGTGATACGTTGTTTGTAAAACTTTTTCAGGCAACACTGAAACATATAGAAATTGGGTTTTTTTCTACACATATATCTTTAAATAGGTTGTACTCTACATACTGTTTTGTGTTTATTTTTATCTTATTTATTTATTTTAGTGATAGGATCTCCCTATGTTGATCAGGCTGGACTTGAATTCCTGGGTTCAAATGATCCCCTGCCTCAGCCTCCCAAGTAGCTTGAACTTCAGGAGCATGCCCTAGCATCCAGCTGCATTTGTTTTTGAGTTAGAGCCTCACCCTGTCACCCAGACTGGAGTGCAATGGCATGCTCACAGCCACCCCAGCGTCGAACTGCTGGGCTCAGGTGATCCTTCCGCCTCAGCCTTCCAAGTAGCCAGAACTATAGGTGCGTGCTACCGCACCCGGCTAATTTTCTATTTACTGTAGAGACGGGGTCTCACCAAGTTGCCCAGGCTGGTTTCGAACCCACGGGCTCAGGCAATCCACTCACCTCGGCCTCCCAAAGTGCTAATATGACAGGCTGAGCCATCAAGCCTGGCTGCAGCTGCATTTTAAAAATGTACCCTTGAGCTTCCTCCCTATCTATGCATAGCTACCTTTATATTTTTTAAATGGCTGTATAGAATTCTATTGTATGAATATACTGTGATTTCTTTATTTAATCCCCTATTGATTATTTCCAGTTTTTTCTCGATTACTAACAATGCTACAGTGAACAGCCCTATGGATAAATATTTATTTAGGATAAATTACTAGTAACATTTTTATAAGAGCTTGACCAGCCCCCTCCCCCCTCCCCACCTTTGCTGTAGCCTTATGTAGAAATGAAGTCTTAATGATTGTTGCTTGATGATCAGTGTCATAAATATCAGTCAAGGAGCGGAGGAAATGATGACATCTCTATTGAGAATGCTAGAAAGAGATACATGCTATTTCTTCATCATGTCTCTCTTATCATATGTCTGGAGAATTTTTTTTTTGTTTTTTTGAGTTGGAGTCTCACTCTGTTGCTCAGGCTTGAGTGCAGTGGCACTCTCAGGGCCACTGCAGCCTCAGTCTGCCATGTTCAGGCAATCCTTCTGCTTCAGCCTTCCAAGTAGCTGGAACTACAGGCATGCACCACCATGCCTGGCTGATTTATTGAAAGTATTCCAGGCAATTGAGAAAGATGGAAATTTCCCCAAATCATTTTATGAAGCTAATATTACACTGATACCCAAACTGGATAAAGATTCAACAAAGAAAGAGAACTACAGGCCAATATCCCTTATGAATAGATGCAAAAATCCTCAACAAAATTTTAACAAATTGGATCCAAAAACACATCTCAAAAATCATCCACCAGCCGGGCTCGGTGTCTCAGCCTGTAATCCCGTGCCTTTGGGAGGCTGAGGTGAATGGATTGCCTGAGCCCACGGGTTCGAGACCCACCTGGGCAACTTGGCGAGACCTCATCTCTACAATAAATCAAAATTAGCCGGGCGTGGTAGCGTGTGCCTGTAGTTCCAGCTACTCAGAAGGCTGA